ACTCACGTCCATTACGAAGTACAGCAGCAGCCTCGACTTGTTGCAATACCCTGAAATTTCTCACAAAGAGAAACTGGAAGCCCACGGAGCCATCACATCCTGCAGTAGCATTTCAGAGAAACCAGACACCACCACAGGCCAAGCACCACAAGAAAACAATTTTGTGCATAATTTGTGACATGAATGGATTAACATTGAAATATTAATCCAGACTGGGGCTGTTGGCCTGGAAAAAGCACAGACTGAAACCAAACTTTTCAACAATTCCACTATTTACCTAAAATCCCTACATTGCATTTGAAAGAACTCAAGCAGGAAACCCACAAGCAGCAGAATTCTATCATACATGCACAAAGACCCACAAAATTCTTCCATTATGACAGGGAAAAAAGCACTTTTCCTATTCTAGAAATGAAGAACACTAAATGCTATTGTTTTCTATTCAATAGCTTGTAAGAAAAGCAGAGGGAACACAAGCAGTGAGTGTAACCAACTGCTTGGAGATGACAGGCTTACCAGGGATGCCAGGATGGAACCCTCAGATCTGCACTGAGTTCAGATATCTCTGTGAGGTACCCTGCCAGAGCTGCTCCAAACCAAGACACACAAACAGCATCAGTTTAATCTGCACATCTAATGAGAGCAAACAAAAGTACTGCTCACCAGGATGGACTGATGCGAATCACCAATTTTCATCAGCAGAAAACCTCACTTTAAGCTGCTCTGACCTTATTTTGTATCTAAGCATCGCTCAAAAGCCCTGTCCCAACTGCCAGAACACCTCAACTTGGAATCACATCAGCAATCACGCTAACTTTACTGCTGCTTCCTTCAGGGGAGGCTATACTCACCCATATTATTTTAAAGCAATAGCATAGCATAATAAAAATAGAAAGCTTAAGGACGTTGAAAATGTGTTATTAGAAATGGTTATTAGAACACATATTTCTTAAGCACTATTTCTGCACTTGTTTCAAGATGCATAAGAAAAACTAGAATTGTGATTCACAAAGAAGTTTAAAACTCTTCAATTTAAAGAAGAACAGCAACGAGGAGAAAAATCTTGCCAGATATCACAGATTTAAAGAGGGGTTATTAAAGCACTTCCACACAACATTAATAAATTGATTTTCTGACTAAAAGCAACCAAACTTCCAGAAATGCAAACAACACCAAAGTGCATTCAAAGAAGTCACTGGGACTTAGTTCAACTGTCCACTGATTCTGGAAGAGAGCTCATCCTGCTCCCCTCCCATACAGCTCCTGCTTCTTCCCATCGTTGGCTGAGACCATTGGCAGCCCATTCAAGCTGTTAACCCCCCAGAAACAGCAAAGATTAAGCTCTTTATTCCAACAGTCAGCAAGCTGAATCATCTCACCACAGGGCAAGGAACACCCTGAGCTGGTGCAGAGGATGCCAACAGGACTGCATTTTCTAGCACAAATGAGCATCCAGAACTGCTCAAGACAAGCACACTTCCCCAATGACAAGCTGAACCAACCTCATGGCTTGTCATCTTTGGAAGGAGGAAGGCACTACTCCCTTGCTGATGCCCCCATCTGGCTCTGCATCCCAGCTCCAGCAGCCCCTGGATCTGTGCATTAGCTGATGCTACCGGCTGCCCTGCAGGAAGCATTTCATTCCTCCTCAGCTACAAGCTGAGCCAACCTGCAGCACAGGTCAGGGAGCACCCATCTATGCAGAAGCAGCAGGAGGGCAGCTGCTTGACTGCCCAGCTGCTGTCCATCCTCTCCCTCCCACATGTGGAAACCCAAACAAAGCTGTACCAGTTCTGGCTCGGGGATTTGCACCCCCAGCTTGCCCAGCCCATCCCTGATCAAACACGAGTATCCTCTTTCCTGTGCAGGCCTGGTACCTCTCTTACTCTCCAGTGATTCAGGGGGAAAAAAAACCCAAAAACAAAACAATGCCTCAAACCATAAAAGCCCTCTGCATTCACCCCCAATTGTGCCTGTAGCAACCTGACTGGTGTAAGCTATTACAGAGCAAAACAACAAAAAAGCAGGAGCTCAGCACTTCTGGAAATCATAGCAGGTATTTAGCTTTGTAACTTGCCAGCAGATAGCCTGACCCCATCTCCTTGAGCTTTTGCAATCAGAAGATCTCATTCTCACATTTTATTCAAACATTATAATGGATAAACAAATGACAACAAAGAAGCATTCTTTCAACTACTAATCACGCTTTTAAGTCAAAATCTTCTCCTCTCAATAGACATTAAAATTTTTATAGTAGGGAAAAAAAATACTTAGCATTCACTCCACCACAAAGTCTAAATAAGCTGCTTAATGCACAATTCTGTAATATACACAAACCCTGAGCTGATCTTAAGTTAGAGATGCTCTCTTTCTGACTACGCCTTGAACAATCTTCTAATATTTAGGAGCATTAGCACTCAAACCCAGCACATGAGCATGCTTTGAAGTGGAACAAAACCCTAAAATGGGTTATTAATCCCAAATCTAAACCCTGCATGATATACATTCAAACTATTGTTTCCCCTCTGTTCTGTCCTGCATTCAAATCAATACATTTCTACAAAAGTGAAACGGGATTTTTTTGTTAGTTTCACTTTCTGGGCTCACTGACTCACTAAGCAGGCTCAGAGCTCCTGTCTGAAGAACTTCCCTGTCAATTTCCAGAAGCTCCATCCTTATTATTGTTATCGTGCAGCTCCTCCAGGCACAGCTATGCTAAGGAGACTTCATCCAACCCCCTACAGAAGTCACGAGCTGCACTGGGAGCCATCATATTCACTACACTGCTCCTAGTTTAAATCATCGAGAGTTTTTTATTCCTAATTTTGAGTGGTTTCCATATCTAGAAGGCAGTGCAGGCATAAAGCTGTTAGCACAAACAGTTCAGTGGATGCAAACAAATGCCAGCCAAGCCTGTGTTGCTGCTGCTGCCTCTGAGTTTGTCCCACAGGTGGATCGAGGCTTCCAGAACCTCTCTGTGCTGCTCCTGCCCCGTACCCAGAGATAAAGCAGCCCTGATGCAACAAAGAACTCATCAGAGCTTTTCTTCAAAATACAGAAGGGGGGAAAAAATATATCCTCTTCCTTTCTTAGTAAAATATCAAAGCCAACAAGTAACAAAAGCCTTTCCCTTTGGAACAACATCCATAAAGTGAAAAAAACAACGCCTATCAGCCCTCCATACCCCATGGCTTTATTGCTCTGTGCAGCACACATCCCCTACAACTCTCAGCCCCGTTCCTGCTGCAACGTCAATAGAAGTACGTGACTGTACCAAATAGGAAGTAGTGCGGCTCTGACTGTGGCTCCCAACAACATGGCGAGCCTCGGCTCTCCCAGAACGGAGCTCTGGGGGTATTTCACAATAACACTGGGCTACATTAACAAAACAGCAGCCAGCGAAACTCGAGACCAAACCCCTGAACTGTGCATTGCCCCAATCCCCCTGCCTCTGACCTCACGGAGACAGGAGTTAGCAGCCACATTGTCTCAGGGCTCAGACCTGGGATTCTCTGCCTCTCAAGATGCAGAAGGAAAACAACTGTATTAACTGGTAAAAACAGCTTACATTGTTACATTTAGTAACAATAGAAGGAGGTAATGCTACATTATAGATGAAAAAATAGCTCCAAATAAGAATTCACATATATTCAGAAATTTCAAGGGAACAGGGAAGAATCATCACATATAGGATATTTTAAACACAGATTTCTCTCCCCTGCAAACGTAGCTGGAAGAAATGTCCATCCTGGGAAGAATCTGTTTATAGCGTACCTTCCAAACAAGCATTTCTAATTTGTTTGTCAACACTATTCAAGCAGCAAATTGATTCCACGATTCTAAATTACCTTAAAATCGGGATCTTAGGATAATCCGAAGGAAACTTGACAGAACATCAACTCAGCTATCCCAACTCGCCTGCTGGGACACCAAAGCGCTGCTCTTCCCAATCCCACCGCGATGGACATCGTGCACATCAGTCAGCCCGCACGGACCCGCGATGGGCTCAGGAAACCTTCTGCCATTCCCTACGCTTCCCCCACAGCCCTCCTTCCCCCTCCAGAGCAAGATCCCCCATATCCCAACGGGGCAGCAGCCCCCCTCTTTGTCCTGATGGCTCGAAACCATAATTAACGCAAACAAACGCCAATTCCATCCTCCAGCAACGGAGCTGCGCGCGATGCCCGGGAAAAAAGATTTTCCGTGCGCTGGGACAGGCGGGGACCCCCCGCAGCGCGGCTCTGCCCCCTCCCTCCCACCCCCCACCCGGTCCGGCCCGGCTCCGACCCCCCCGGCACAGCCTAACGCGGGCGGTGACCGCCTCACGGGGCGGCCCCGAGGCGGGAGGCGCCGCTCGCTCTCAGCTCCCCCCTCCCCGCCGCCGAGGCGCGCCGGGCCGCGCGGGGTTCGGCTGCGGACGCCGGGCTCGGTGCGTCGCGGCCTGCTCCCGGCCCCACAAGTAACTTGCGGGACGCTCCGCCCGGCCGCGGCCCCGCGCAACAAGTTCCCGGGCCCGGCCCCCGCCCCTCCGCCGCCGAGCTCTCACCTCCGCCATGTTCGCTGCGCGGGAGGGAGGGCGGGGGCCGGGCCGGGGAGGGGTCACATCGCCGCCGCGGCGGAGGAGGAAACGGCGGCGGAGGGTCGCGGGCTGCGCGGCGGCGGGGAGCGGCGGGAGGGCGGGGCGAGGGCGGGGCCGGGCGGCGCGCCGCGCTGCGTCACCGCGCACGGGCGGCGGAGGGGAGGGGCCGGGGGAGGCGGGGCAGAGGCACGCGCGCGCGCTCCGCTCGACTGTCAATCACGGGGCCGACCACGCCCCCATCCTGCAGGCCCCGCCCCCTCGGCCCGTCCTGTCAGCGCCGCGCCTTCGCGGCGGCGGAGCGCTAGGAAAAGGAGCCGGGTTCCTCTCGGCCAGCGGAACCGCTCGGTGCCGCCCGCGGGGCCCAAACGGTCCGGGTGTCGCTCCGCACCGAGCAAATCGCGCTCCCGCCGGCGTTACTCACGTTGGGGCGCGGAAGGCGTCGTCCCACCGCGGTCCTGGGGAGCAGCGCCGTGCGCGACGCTGCGGTGGTCCTACGGAAAGGGAAACAAAACACAAAACGCGTCCGATCTCAATGCTGCCGTCCCTAAAGCCATCCCGTGCGGCTGCAGCTCTGCCCCGCGGGGCCGCGCAAGGGCGCAGAGGCTGCGGGTACGAACCCCGGCGTCACAGCCACTGACAGAGGCGGGGATGCTGCATTCTAGCTCGACACTTCTGGAAGGGCCCCGCGGGGCGACGCTACGAGCACCGCCGCGTGCAGCTTCGCTGACTGAAAGCCCCACAAACCCCGGCCCCGCTCCCCGCCTCGGGGGCGGAGGGAGCCGCCGCCTCCCCGGGCCGCCGAGAACCTTTGTGCTTCAGTGACAAAGCGGGGACCGGCGCTGCCGCGGCCCTGCCGGCGGGGAGGAGCCCCGGGGCGGGCAAGGGGCGGCCCGTAGGCCCAGCCCCGCCGGGCACGGAGAGAACCCCGGGGACGGGCGGGCCGCGGCGCGGCTCTCTCCCCTCAGGCCGGGCGGGCGCGAGGAGAGCGGGAGAGAGGGGACCTATCGGCGGCGCCGTTCTTGGCAGCCAATCGCCGCGCCGCGTCTTTGCGGCGCGTTGCCACGGTTACCGCGCGACGCGCTGCCCCCGCCGAGCAGCGTCGCCATGCCGGGCCCGGGCGGACAGCGGCGGTTGTCTGAGTGAGTGCGCGGCCGCGGCACCCCGGAGGAGAGATCTCAGGATGGGTCTCAGCTGCTCCTCGGTTCCCGTTTGCTATTTCAGCCCCAGACTGCAGCACAACGCCTTTGATACTTCTGCTTTACCCTAGTTTCCCCAGCCCTGTCCACCTCGCTCCTCGTTACCGCTGAAAAAGCCTCCTTAGAAGCCAAGCGGAGCCCTTCCTGCAGGAACTACGTTATTCCTTTGCTGTTCTGTGTCCCGTTCCTACATCATCCCAAACGATGATGTAGAAGAATTTCATTTTAAATGAAAATTAAAGAATAGGTAGTTTTGTTAGTTGTATTCGGTTGATTGCATTTTGTGATTTGAAACCGCTTCTGGTTTTAGATTGAGACAAAAATTGAGGACCGCCTTTGGCAGCCGAAAGAATGTGAGCATCTTGGGCCGCAGCCACATCCTCACCTCCATGGGCACGGCTGTGCAGAAGGCGGCCCAGGAGCACAGGCAGCACGATGTGAGGGTGAGAGGCTGCAGAACGCTTTCAGTGGGAGTTTTCTGTGGAGTCTAAAAGCTATGAGAAAGGGGGGAGGGAAGGGGAAAGCAAAGATGCAGCTGGAACTGAAGAGCTGTAGAGAAAGAAGAAGATCCAAAAGCTCAGTCCAGACTGAAATGACGAGCGTAGAATCACAGAACTGTTTGAATTGGAAGGTGCCTTTAAAGGCCATCTGGTCCCACTTCTCTGCCATGAATAGGGGCGCCCACAGCATCAGTGTCCAAAACTGATCTACAAGAATAAAAACAAAGCGGTTAGGCATGCTTGTTTCTCCGTGGTTTAAAAACCCACAGACTGACACAGTTTGCCTTGGTTTGCTATTTTTAAAACTTTTTATTAGTGGTGTTTTTCTTCTATTTTTGTGGGGTGAGCACCTGTCTTGACAGCTTTCCAGAAGTCAGTGAGATAAGCCAACCATACCTTCCACTTGAGCTAACAAAAACACAATTTTAAAGCAAGTTATATGAAAAAAAAACAAAAAACAAAACAAAACCCAAAAAAACCCAAAAGGCACGGTATAATGTTCTTTTTCACAATTTAGTATGTGTTCATTTGAAGGTAAGCAGTTTAAAGCAACAGTGCTCCTAATTTAAGAACTACTTGCTTTCAAATCTAAATAATATGTTGGCTGTAGCATTTGTATGCCTTTACCTGAAAAACAGAAGATTCTCATAACATTAGTTGGAGAGTTCTGTTTAAAAACCATACTGAATGTCTTCTTAGAGTAAAATGATATTTTGAGCAGTATCATACAAAAAAGACACACTGCTGTTTCTCTAGTTGCTTCTTTTGCTCCTGCTAATTTGATAGAAATAGTTATGGCCAATGAGGCACTATTGGTAGTCATAGGATAAATAAGTCAGGAAAGAGAACAAGGATGAACAAGAAGAAGCATCTCAGATAGTGGGATGGTCACAGATCTTTTCAGATATTTTGCATCATTTCTGTAAAGACAGCTCCAAAGAAGACCCAAGCACAGATGAGAGTCTTTTAAAGGCTGAGTCCTAAAGAGAAAGTGGGGATCAACCCCTCTTTGCTCATACTGGTGGTGTATATTAGGCACCATTTGCACAACAGGGTTGCCTGTTCTGTCAAGGAGGATGAATACCTCCGTGTCCTGCTTGGACTGGGATCTTCTTTTGGTTCAAGATAAGACAAAATGTTGCATGCATCATAACTGCCATTTGCTTTGAGAAGACAGTGACATTGCTATTATTATTTAAATATTTCTTCAGGTTTTTGATGATGAAGGAAAGGATGTGACACCCCATCCGCTCTTCCGTCCAGATCCAAAAACTGCTGCACCCAAACAAAGCAAGCTCCTGGCATTTAGTGATTCCTCAGGGGCTGCAGGATCAGTTTTTCTCCCTTTCTCCATATATCAGACATCAGAGGAGGATGGTCGTTCTGTAGCCCCACACTCAAGGTTAGTCCATTAATTGCTGTCTCTTAACTCATGTATCACAGACACCTGTCCTGCAGCAGTCACACATCTGCTCTGCAGAAGGAACAAGAGATGGAATAATGATGCAGTGCTAATACTGTGTTGCTAAAATACACACATTTACCTGTCATAGTCATCCTTTGAAATTTGAGGCATAGTAACAAACAGAACAAGTGGAATTTACCATTACTTGTGACAGAGACTGATTCTGTGCAAGAGCTACTTGCTGACATGCTAATACATGCTGTTGAAAGCACACCATGCCACATGCTGCTGTAATATTTCTCATTGTGTTCAAATTCTCCTTCCTAATGCACATTTTTCTGTGTAACACTGCAGAATGGACCATTTTTATAGATGGTCACAGTACAAAAATGCAGACCTCCACTCTCCAGGTTTTGTAAGGGTCAGGGCTGCAAACACAGATTAGAACTTATACATAAGTACATGACAAAGCACTATCTCAAAAATAAGGGAGGTTGTGTTCCAGTTCTATGAGCAAGAAGATAAAGCTGAGAAGGGGCATTTGCAGCTCTTCACTATATTGCCATGGCTATTTTAAATACTCTGCTTTCCTCACACTATCTTTTAAAAAATTGCAATTTGTCAACATGTGTTTGGCTGTGGGCATAGAAAAATGCTCTGGAAACATAAGGTCTGGTTTCACAAGTTACAGAGCTGTTTATACTATTTTGCCTGTCAGTGGTACTTCTGAAGTAGCAACAACCCTGTTTTAAAACCCTGATTTTGTCAGTTCAGATATTCAAAATATTGCTAGCATAATTAGAATTCTCACTTTTAGATTAATTTAAATAAGTTACCTCTGTGTAGCCATATGCATATATTTCAAAACTCTTGAGTTACAGCTGCTAAACAACACATTTCATTACTTATTGGAGCCAAACCTTCAGTACAGAGGGAGTAAACAAGGTTTATCTTCTGGGTGACAAATTCAGGTAATTTATGTGAAAGAAGGTAAAAAACAATTTGTTTAAAAATGAAAAACAGTGAATGACATGGCTTTATCAGATGGTGTGTACACATTCACATTTAATGGAGAGGAGGCGCAATGTATTTTGTCACACAGACTAAAAAGACAAGTCAAGTCAGAACTGGAAAAATCCCTCAAGTTAAACAGAAACAAGTATTATTTACTCTTTCCTTTGGCAAAGTTAATGCCATTGCAATTTCTGAGCAAAAGAATGCTCTTTGAAAATGCTTTTTGTCATGCTTCCTATGGCAGGTTATTGTGAGAAATAATCCTAGAGTCAGGGATATTGAGCAGGGGCCAATATACACTTTTTAAGCCAATATGGCTTAAAAATAGATGGTAAATTAAAAAAGACAACCTTTCTGGGGATGGGCTTTCATTTAAAAGACAGAACAAAGTGATTTTACCTTAGGCTTAACACAACTCTAAAAGATGTCACATCAAATGCCCCCTGTATAGTTATAATTGCTCACACTTAGCTCTTGTGGAAATCTGCTTTAAAAACCTCCCAGCTCTACATCAGTCTTGAGTTTTACTTCTGGTTATTATCACGGCCATCCTCTCTATGAACATTATCTGTTTTTTTTTTTAACAAGCTGATCCCTTGAAATGAGTTTCTTGTGCATTTCAAAGATGTTTCAGCACATACAAAGCCCAAAGGGATCTTAATTCCAGTAGAAAACTGTGCTCTCTGTATGCATGTGTTATCACTCAGCAGGTAACCAACACGTCACATTATTACATGCTAAGGATGAATCTGAGAACTCAACAGCTATTTAATCAGCTATTTAATGCCTCAGGATATGCTGTTGGATGAATTCTTCCTTTTTAAGTCTTTTTCCATCCTTTTCATTATTTTCTTTGCAAAACCTCCCATGACTTCTTTTACAAAGCAAGCATTCCTGTACATGCTATCACAAAGTCCTCTGTGGTTTATCCTGCTTTGCTAACTGACATCTGGACTCTTACATACCATTTCAGCTTATTTCTTTGTTATTGAAGGACATCTGAAAGCAGCAGAATTTCTAAATCTACCATGTCAATAACAGAGTCCGTGCTAGATGGAATAGCAGAATCTGGCTCACTGCAAGACACAGCTGTTAGCTCACCTGGTAAGGAACATACACTGTGTAATTATAGATTTAAACTGTTCTTTGGAGCACTGAGATTTGTGAGGCACCCAGGGCCTCGCAGGTTTTGGCTCCTGCTTATTATCGTACCTCCAGAATTAATTTGCCTTCTTTTGAACTGAGAGCAGAAAAAGTCTCACTTGTTAACCTCCTATAACTTGTCAGACGTACAGGTGAGGCGAGAGGAGATAAAAGAACAACTGACAGAAGAAGACTTAGACAAGAGAGTGGATATTTATCTCACAGAGACAGAAACTCTCAGGATGTTGGACTTGCCAACTGTTGTGGTGTCTGTAGAATCAGAAGACGCTGCAAGAGTTCTGTATGTATACTTGCAAGTGCATACATGTATATAGAATGCTCAGCAAACCTAATTTCTCCTGACCAGAGAGACTCAAACAGGCAGCTCACAGATGGGTTCAGTGTTCTGACTGCTCCAGTTTGCCATTCATATATGTCTGAAGCCATACTGGGCTGTATGGGA